ATATTTAATATGTGTACATTATTATAACATGTTTTTTTGTTAAAAAGTACAAAATCCAAACACCTACTCTTTTGTTCCGATCTGTCTCCTTGACTTCTTCTTCAGTCACTCCTTGTCGGATCATAATCTTTACAATGACTGTATTGTTGTTGCAGCAGGCCTTGAAGAAGGAGATTGGTTCGGGGCTGATAATATGAGAGATGACGGAATCATCCAGCGGGTAGAAGGAATCATTTGAGATAAAGCTCCTTGTGTCGGAGCAATCAGGCAAGGCATCAAAGTCCAACTCCTCAAATTCCTGGTAGATATCGTCCTCATCCTCCCAATAGGTCCATGTGTAATCAACTTCAATCTCTTCATCCATCTCTGATACATCACAGTCAAGTCCATCTCTATCAACTTTGCTGATGGACATGACAGGAGTATCAATAGCCATGTTGTTGGCTCTGTTTTCAGTCTTGCCAAGTCCAATCCCTCTAGCAAAGCCATTCTCTTGAACCTTTGAATCTCTTTCTTGTTCCTCAGTTATTAACACCATTTAAATCCTAACCTGCCCCAATTACCTTTAATAATTCTAATAGGGTTCCTTCACAATGTTTGGAGTAGCCAAACGTTATGATAAGTTTACATTTTAACCATTCATAAATTGAATCTTACCAAGCAAAGTATATTATCACACATAAAAGGGTCAACAAAGGCCATCAAAAAGGTATCAGATCATTGCACTTACTACCAATCCTCTATTGTTGCTGAATAGATCTGATTGGGATTTGTCAACTTTAACAGATGTCTGATTATAAGCATGATCTGACAATCACTTTGGAATATTAAAGTGACCAAAAAGTAATTGGTAAGGAGGAAAAATAGTTACACTTCACTGTTATGTCCAAATTGCTTTTTCCCAAAATTGGAGCTTCATAAGTCCAAGAGTATCCATGAGTTTTACAAGCCAGCTCTCTTGTCCTTGCGACTTTTCATAACAATTCCAGAAGCCATCACACTGTACGATCATCGCACAAGAATCACGACAGGCACCGCAAGTTCCCAGATGCTTGATGTCCTGATCAGAAGCTAAAGTGTCCTTTAGCAGAAGAATAGACAACTGGCTTGATCCGAAATTGATTAAAGTGAGCAACTAATCCCGTGTTTCCCTGTGGAGAAACACTTGGTTGCCTTTTGACGATGGTCAGAAATGGGATGAGAGGGTTTCCGTTGAGCTGCTCCAAGATAATCCATTTAGTCTTCCTCTAGCTGTGGCCCTTCTGTTGGGATACAGCAGACTGTGAAAATGACTGACGCAAGCACAGCAGGATGGTATTAACTTGAAAACCTTCTTTCTTGACATATTTACAAGCAAATCTTTATATATTAAAATTATAGTAGATTCAACAATTGCCCTGTGTGTACCAACATATACTGTCTTTGCTATTACATGTGCTAATGTGCTAATTAGTGAGCTGACATTAGTTTAGCTGGTAAAGCTGACCCCTCCCTGCACTCAGTGCAGCTTAAACTAGATTTCCCATCCAGTGACTTCATCTGTACAAAGGGTAAATAGTTCAGCCATCTTGCTTTTTCCAAATTTGACTTTTTTGACTGTGACTCCTGCATGCTACTGAGCTGATAATATATATTTCCAATTAGCTAAAGACTCAGTCTTAGCAGATAACACTAGTTACACAAAGTAGTTTTATTAGAACGTTAACTTGACACGAGTAAGTGTGATGATCATAGTAAATTCAAAAAGCGTTCAATACAAAAAATGATCATAGTAATCATAGTAAGACGAGCAGATCTAATTTAAAGCTTCCCGTCAAGATCCGTATTTATGCTAAAATATTTGGCATATGGCAAAACCTCGCTTTGACATTAATAAAGTAAGGTTAGGGAGGTAGCATACTAAGCAGGACTGTTAAGGACAAGTTGGTCACACAAAGTTGCAAGAAAAAACTCTTTTAAAACTGTGCAGTTTTACAGACTTCTGAGTGCCAGAGTCATGACACGTTGTGCAGCCATTTTGTGAAAATTACTGCTTTTTGGTCCACACAGCTAGCAAAACATTATTCTAGGCTGTGCACATTATTTCATTGCTGACCTCCTCCATCATACCCACCAATAGGCATCTTTGTACCCACCTTAGCAGATGCCTCATTTATGATTTAATTGACTGCTGTGCACTTTTAAAATGAGCATAGGAAGGTTTGGACCATTTTTTTCCCCAAGAATTTATATTTATGATTGGTGTGGTTTGGACGTTTGGGATTGTAGCCAACAAATGACCTTTTGGGTTGCTGTAGTGCAAGGCTGTTTTTGCACCAGATTAGTAATGCCTTTCATAATTGGAAGATTTTGACGTTTTGTTTTTAATATACAGTAAATGGAACTAAAGCCTTCTGGCATGTTTTCAGGCACCAACCCAATAAATGGCACAATGTGAAATCAAGTTATTCTGGAGAAGAAAAAATAACAAAGTTCACATTGTATTGTAAAATGAATGCTTTATCCAGGTGTGAGAAGCTCTCATGGGAGGAACAAACACACACTTCATGTGAAGCCTGGGGTTTGGTTTTACAGCAGAGCCTAGAAAGAAACTCTTTCTGACACTCCGCTAATCTCTCCAGAGCTCCTTAGAGGAGGAACAGACCACAGGCGCTCCCGTCATGATGTGATGGGCGTGACAAAAGTTGATCCCATTGTGCTCCTGAAAAAAAAAAATGAAGAACAGGTTGGAAAAATCTGATTTGGCCTGACATGGGAAATCTGGTTTTAGCTGCACATGCTCCTAATCTGTGCTTCTAACTGTTAAGACTGTGCATTAGCAGAAAGGTAATTGGATTAGGCAGAAATAACTGCGCATCCTGTTTCCTGCAGCTGCACTAGAGATGATCCCATATCAGAGCTAAGCTGTTATTAACAAAGAAATGTGTTTGACTGATTGATGACATGTTGATACTGAGCACTGTGGCGCACTCGTGCCTCATTGTCGTACATCTAGCAGCAACCTCCTTCGTCTAAAGGTCCAGGAGCTTTCCTGGCAGAAAAACAAGTGGCTAATTTTAAAAGTCTGCTGCAAGCAAGACCATTGACTGTCTCCTCTGTGCTGTGTTCAGGGCATCCATGAAAGCAGGTTCATCTTTGTGTTCTTGAAGGCAACAGCCTTAACATTCCTAAGACTTTAGGCCGCACTCACCTCTCTCCTGAACTGAGGACTTACTTTACTTTAAAGTTCAGGAACAGGTGTTAAAGCTACAGCTCAGATCTTTTGAAGTCAGCTCCCCTGGAAAAGTTATAAACATTTAATGTATTTTTTGGTTGTCGATAGCTGTTTGAACAAATCATGTTAGAACAAATCAGTTGTTCACTGTATATTGAGTCAGTCATATTTTAGTGGTGTTTGAATTTTTTACAATATTTTTATCCACTATAGAAACATTTAGTCATGTACAGAAATTGGTTTCCATACAGAATATGGTGTAGGTAATATTATTTCCAACATTTAGTATGTTAAAGGTTGTGATACAGTAACAATTGCAGTTCATGCTTTAGTTCATGCAGCACAATAAGTGTCACACACGCACACACGTTTAAATAAATTTATGTCAGTGTTATGATCACGTTCTCTAGGCCACTGTCCAAAATTAAAGCCAATAAGTGCTTTTCTTAGGTGCAGCCATGTTGTATTATTTTAAATCCTGAGTCTTTGCATATGAGATGCGGGGCTGTATCCTCAGTCTACACACTCTTCTAACTCACTTACAGGCTGTGACACTATCAATCACAATCTTAAATAACTAACTAAAACTAAATACATTTGAAAAGTGCATATTTAAATGTCCAGTGCAGCAACAATGTAATATTGTTGCAGGTCTTGATGCTTAATTATGATTTTAATTTTACCAGATTTTATCAATTATTTCATTCATTCAACCTTTATTTCGACAGATAAATCACACTGAGCCTTGAAGACTCATTTACAAGTGAGATCTGTTTAGACAGACAAAAAGTAATGACACTGGACACATGTAGGAATTGGAAGCAAAAAAAAAAAATCCTATTAAACTCTTTCTTCTTGGCTGAGAAGGAAGAGTAATATAAAAAACAATTGTGTTAAAAAAAATTGCTGTTTTTATTAACCTTACCTTGCGCTATATCTTGTATTATAACCTAATGAATGAAATTCCATTAAGTTTCCAGACAGGTCTCCAGAGGGAGAATAGACCCGGAAGTAACGATCCACAGCATCGAGTCAAAAAGGAAGTTGTCTGACGTCATGTGAAAAGGGCCTATTCATGTTATTTAAACAAGTTAAGTAGGTTTTGTCATCATTCGCATCACATGCGGTGCACGAGGTGGAACGAAATTGCATACACACCATTTACATCCAATAATAACAAAAATATAAGACGAAAAAGAAACAGTAATATGGATCCAAGTCAGATGTAGAATACGCTAAACACTAATAGTTCAAAACAATACGCTGAACACGAGTCTGTGTGAGCAGGTAAGTATGAATGAATACAGAAGCATGAAATAATGAGCAGCATGGATAATCAGCAGCACATATCAACAATTAGTAGCATTACAGTGATATCATTTTTTTATTTTTTCACAGTGATATTCCTGATCAGGGATTTATGAGTCTAACAGCTTCTGGGTAGATGTTCCTCAGTCGTTCTACACTTAATGCTCCTCAACCTTCTGCCTGAGTGAGGCAAAAAGTGTGTGTGCTGGGTGTGTGTGGTCCTTCATGATGCAGGTGGTCTTCTTCCTGCATCTGGAGGTGTAGATGTCTGTGATGGTGGGGAGGCTGACTCCAACAGACTTCTGTGCAGCCTTCACCACTCTCTGCAACACTTTCCTTTCTGCAGCTGTGCAGCCTCCATGCTACATGTTGATGCTGGAGCACAGGATGCTCTCCACTGCACACCTGTAGAAGGAGGAGAGGACTGAGCTTCCCAGTCCAGCTCGCCTCAGCTAAGACTGGTATAAACTTCTGGTTAAACGAGACTGGTATCAGACTCCAGTGTGAACAGTCCACAGCCCTGAATAAGTGAATAAGGATTTTATGTATTGATTCTGAAGTTGTTGTGTGATCGGAATGACTAAATTATTATCTGCTAAATTTGTTTGGTCCAATGTTTACTTTTCATCTTACTGCTTCCTGCCAGCTCAGGCGCAGAGTTGCACTTCTGAAACATGAGCGACGTACTGAAAGTGGAGACGAGAAACAAACTTAAGTATTGATCCCATCATGCTAGTATTGATATGATCCAACGTGTTAATCAAAACAAATCTATAAAGTAAAAAAATAAAAAAGACGAAACAATTAGACTTTTGTTCTGTAGCTGAAGATGTTGAGTTCCAAACTTTAAATGGCACAAGATGATCAATATCTGGATTAATCTGTATATCCCTGTCTCAAATCACTTGAACTAA